TACGGACGGACATTGTTAGATAGACTTCACATGTCCTGAAACGGATTTGGTCCAAAGAGACCTAGGGGTCAAAATTGTTGTTTCGATGAGACACGTTTTGGCCGTATCAAATGTCCTTTAAGAAAATATTTATAAATAGTCCGCGTTCTCTTTAGTTCTTAAAGGAATATTTTGGTTATCCATTTCCTCGTTGGCCTATGAAAATAATATTCTTAAAATTTTCAATTTTTAAAGAAAATACTTTTTGAAATCCATATCGTTGCATGTTCTTAAAAATATACCTTTAATGTCCTTCCCGACATTTGGAAAAAAAAATTCTAACACCCTCGAGAGTTTTTGAGGAGAATATATGTAAAAGGGAAAAAATAATCCTCGATGCTCCTTGAAAGATATTTCGTAAAATAGTAATTGATCCTCCAAATAATTGATCCTTGTCGAATTCCATTTTGTTCAACTGATAATCAAATTTTTCAATTTGGACAGCATGTTAAAATAATTAAATTGAATTAAAATTTCAAGCATCAAATTTAGCCTTAAAAATTGAAAAATTTAAAAAAAAATTGCGAAGACTACCAATTAAATGAAAACCGTTATATGAGAATATCTATACAAAGACGTGGATCTGCAACAAAATTTTTTGTCTGTAATGCCCATTACGAACTTCAAATTCGAAATTGGAAATATTTTCGATAAAGATTGTCCCTTAAATCATGAAAATACCAAACATCGGGAGGACATGGAGGCTACACGAAGATCTGAACCTGCATACAATATTTTTTGCCATAGGATGTATGTGTCCTTTAATGTCCTTCCCGACATTTGGAAAAAAATGCTAACACCCTCGAGAGTTGTTGAGGAGAATATATGTAAAAGGAAAAAAAAAATAATCCTCGATGCTCCTTGAAAGATATTTCGTAAAATAGTAATTGATCCTCTAAATAATTGATCCTTGACGAATTCCATTTTGTTCAGCTGATAATCAAATTTTTGAATTTGGACAGTATGTTAGAGTAATTTAATTAAATTGAATTTTCAATTACCAAATTTATCCTTAAATTAAAATATTATCATAAAAATTTAAATAAGCAAATTTTAATATGATTAATTAATTATTAATTAGTTATTATTGCAATTACACATACAAAACATTATTTCTAAAAATATTTGTTAAATATTAATATTAATTACGATAATGAATGTTTCAAGCATAAACCACAATAATAATAACAAGTACAATAATAATGCACATATATTAATAATAAAGAGAAGAATTGAAGTAACCATGGTAAGGAATGGAAGGATATACAGTGGGACAAAGATATAACGACCAGTATCTAATATTAGTTCGTTTTCTTTCTTTTTTTTTTTTTGTAAGACAAACTAATTTTTAATCTAATCAGACTTTCTTTATATTAGAAACAATGTTCGTCACATCCATGTGCCACTGTAGCAATTGCAGATGAACGAACAAACAATCGAATAAATGTAATGAACATGAAATTCTCGTCTTTTTTTGGAAACAACACAAAAAACAATAATGGGATGAATTGTCGTTTTTTTTCTGCCGTATAACCGAATGTAAGAATGAATAAAAGAGAGAGAGAGAGAGAGAGAGAGAGAGAGAGAGAAAAAACACAAAACAAGAATACAAAGAAACTATGGTTGAATAGATGAATGCCAACTGGTCGGTTGGCTGACTGACTGACTGAATGGCTGATTTGAATGGGCGAATGAATGAATTATCTTTGGTGGTAATGAACATGAACATGAAATGAATGTATACACATACATACATATCGACAACACATCCATGTATGAGTTATAATACATATGTATGTGGATGTGTGAGTGTTTTGTTTTAATAAATCCACTAGACAAGTGAAATATTGTATATATTTGCTATGGCAATGGCGAAAAACAATGAGAAGAGAAGAGTATGGCAGAGAGTATATATTCTCGGGCGGGCATGTATGTGTTTTTGGGTGTGTGGATGTAGGTGTTTATTTAATGAAGGGGGGCCTTGTTTAAAGTGTTTCTTTTCGAGAGTATACTTTAAGGGGTCTGGAAAACAATAATAATACTTTTGTTTTGGGTATCTAGTATTTTTCCTAGGTTAATTAAATAAGGGTAGAATTTTTTTTTTTATTATAAAAACGAAAAAAAATACTTTTTTTTTGTGGGGAAAAGTCTTTTGATAATTTGGGGTTTTACTTTTTTTCAGTGTTTCCTTGTCATAAAAATGGGGTTTGATTTGGAAATTTAGAAAGGTATTTTTTTAAGAATTAAAAAAAAATAAAATATTTCTAGGGATACAAATTTGTCGGATAGAAATAAACATTTAAAAACAAAGAAATAAATTGACTACAAAATAGAATTCAATAGAATGATAACATGCCAATGAATATGCAAAGAAATTAAACAATATTACAAAAAATATGGCTAAGATAAAACATAAAAAGGCGGATAAAAAATGGAATTCGGAAATGGATTTCTTATTTATTTTTGTAAAGTACTTGGCAAATGGTCCTAAAAAGTCGAGGTTAAAATTTCTTGCAAATATATTCTATAATAGAATAGAATTATATATATTGAATTATGAAATCGATTTTTTTGTACTAATTTTTGTAAGGTCCTTGATATATGGTGGCAAGGTTAAACCTATTTGCAAAAAAAAAAAAATCTATAAAAATCTAGCTAAGAATGAGTCAGTCCTTCACACTATCGGTTGTAAATATCTACGTTTAAAACGAATTGCCCTTGAAAATAAACTCTATAATTTTTAAATCACTTTAAAATCTAAAACAAGTAAAAAAACAGCTAAGTTCGGCCGGGCCGAACTTTTAATACCCTCCACCATTTTCAAGGAAATTGAAAATTTTAAAAAAAAATCCGAAAACTACCAATTAAATGAAAATTGTTGTATGTGGACCATACGAAGACATGGACCTGCAAGGAAATTTTTTGTCTGTAGTGTCCAATACGAACTTCAAATGCGCAATTCGAAATAATTCCGGTAAATAATGTCGCTAAAATCATGACAATACCGAATATCAAGTGGTGCCGTTATATGGGGGCTATACGAAGATCTCAACCTGCATACAACATTTTTTTTCCATTGGTGGTAGTACCCATTAGTATTTTCCAGTATGAAATTTGAAATAATTCCGGTAAATAATATCGCTAAAATCATTAAAATACCGAATATCGGGAGGTACCGAAGACGTAGACATGTACATGTAGTACCCATTACGAAATTCAAATACGAAATTCGAAATAATTCCGGTAAATAATGTCGCTAACTTGAAATACGAAAAAGAAATACCGAATATCGGGAGGTATATCATGGGGGCTATACGAAGACGTGGACCCGCATTCGATTTTTTTTGCCATTGGTCGCAGTACCCATTAAGATCTTCCAATACGAAATTTGAAATTATTCCGGTTAATAATGGTGCTGAAGTCATCAAAATGTCGAATATAGGGAGGTAACGTTATATGAGGGCTATACGAAGACTTGGACCTGAATACAACAATTTTTGTCATAGGCTGTAGTATCCATTACGAACTTCAAATACGAAATTCGAAATAATTCCGGTAAATAATGTCGCTAAAATCATGAAAATACCGAGAGGTACCCTTATATGGGGGCTATACGAAAACGTGGACCGACATGGCCCATTTACGAACCTAACCTACTCAATGGTAAGCTATGCATGTATGCAAGCCTTCTATCTCAATTCGTTCGAAAGATAGCGTAATTATAACACACAGACAGACGGACGGACATCGCTCGATCGTCTTAGAATTTTACGCTGATCCAGAATATATATACTTTGTGGGGTCTATTATGAATATTTCGAGGAGTCACAAACCGAATGGATTGTGGAGGGCATAAAAGTATTGATTTTTCTTGAAAATATATTTTTTAAATTTTTAAATCGCGATTTTCAAAAATTCCAAAAAAAAAAAATATTTTCAATAATTTCAAAAATATTTTTTATAATTCCCGACTTATGCACTTAAAGTAAATGAGTTTCACTTCCAAACTTTAAAAAAAAATTTTTTGGAGCAAAATAGAGTCATCCTTTCTCTTTCTGTGCAGTAAAATATTTTTTTTAATGTTTTGTGAGGTAGGTACCAGAAGGAATGGACTATCTCCGAACTCGATCAATGTTTGATAATAATATTACGATGTATCAAGTTTGGACCAAATTGGAGGCGCTCTTCGTGATTTATCATGTGCACCAGCCATACAGACAGACGGACGGACGAACATCGCTAGATCGACTCCAAATGTTCTGAAACGGATTTGGTCCAAAGAGACCTAGGGTCAAACATTTTTATTTCGGTGAGACACGTTTTAGCCGTATCAAATAATATAGCCATATAGCTGAGGACGTCTAAGACGTCCTTTAAAATATATTTATAAATAGTCCTGGAAAAATTATATTTTTTTAAATCCACGTTCTCTTTAGTCCTTGAAGGTATATTTTTGGAAATCCATTTCCCCGTTGGTTTATAAAAATAATATTTTTAAAATTTAATTTTTTTAAAGAAAATAATTTTGGAAATCCTCATCGTTGCATTTCCTTGAAAAAAAAAAAATTAAAACGTCCTTGCGGACTCTTCAATAAAATTTTTTTACATCCTCCTCTCAGACAGTACTAGAGGAGAATATTTAGAAGGACAAAAATTAATGTTCCTTGATTGATATTCCTCAAAATAATAATTGATCCTCCAAACAATTGATCCTTTTCGAATTCCATTTTGTTATCCATTGATTGAAACCAAAAAACAAAAACAGGTGCAACAAATAAAGCCAATGTAACAGAAATCAATTTGCAAAACAAAAGCTAGAACTACAAAATAAAAAAGGGCATAACATAAAACCAAAAAAGATAAGGGAGAACAAGGAAGAAAACAAAAGCAAACAACAGAAATAACATATAAACAATAAGAATAAGAATAATTAAAGTAAAAAAGAAAGGAAATACACTGACGTCGTTTATCGGTGGTGGTGGTGGTCGAGGTGGAGGTGGATGATGAAGATGATGAATCGGTATCGGTGGGATCGGTAATATCGGTATAGATGGGGCTGTTTTCATCGTCCTCCTCTTTCGTGTTGCTGTCATCGTAATCTTGGTCATCCTTGTCGTCCTCCTCATCGATATTATCATCATCGTGGTTGCCATTGTTATTGCGGCCATGTTCAATGTCTTGTCCAGCATCAACATCAATTTCACCAAAATCGTCCTCATCTTCAAATTTGGGACTCGGTTTATGTACATCGATGGGTTTCGATTTGTCCAGGATATCATGGTAACGGGGTTTGATTATGTCATGGTCATCGGCATCGGCATCCTCATCATCATCATCGTCGCCGGTGTGATCGTCGTCATCATCGACATTGCTGTCAATGAGACCGCCATCACCGCTGTGATGTAGCAGGGGACCGCCTTCCTCCTCATCCAGATCGCCATCCAAATCGAAATCATCGCCATCGCTGTGATGATGCGGGGGAGTTCCGCCAGGTGGTTGAACTTTGCCAATTGTTGAGGTGGTTGTGGTGGTGCTTGTGGCTGGGTTTTGATTTTTGTCTAAGGAAAAGGGAATAATATGGGTAGTGTTGTTGTTTGTTTTGTTGTGTAATAGGTTGTTGTTGGTGGTGGTAGTGTTAGAGTTGGTGTTGTATACGGGCAACGTGGTGGTGGTGGAGGTGGTGGCGGCAGTTGAGGTCAAAATTGGGGGGATTAGTTCGTTAGGGGTCACGGTTGTTGTTGGGGTTAGTAGAGGTGATTTTTGTGTGGCAATGGGAATGATGGTTGTGGTAGTGGCGTTGGTCATAATGGGATCAAACAATGAAATAGAGGAATTAAATTGTTTATTATGATTATTTGTTTCTAATGATTGAATGATTGATTGATTGATTTGGTTTCGATATGATTGAAGATGAGTTGTAGGAAAAAAAATGAAAATAATGTATTTTGTTTTTTTTTTTTACAGAAAAGAGATGAGAAAATAAAAAAAAAAAAATAAAAAATCGTAAAATAAAAAAAATATCATTGTAGTGAAATCAAAAACATGGCTAAATCACATTTAGGCCAAAAGAAGTAAAAAATTTAAAAATTTTCAAGAAAAATCAAAATAAGTGGCTCATAGACAATAAGAAAGTGCAAAAGTTGATAGAGAGAGAGAAAAATTTGTACAAAATTCTCTACAAATGAGCGACAAGTCATTACCAATCGTATTGGAGCCACCTGCTGACCCAGAGCCAACAGAACTGATGATGCCTGTGTTTGAGATGCCGCTACCAATGTTCGTGCCACTGGATGTCTGATGATGACTATTCTGATTGTTATTTCTACTTGTGGTTATGAAATCGTTGTCATCGATTTGCTTATTTATATTTGATTTACCGGTTTGAGTGTGCGTGTGCGAGTGATGGTGGTAATCGCTGTCGGAATCCTCGTCATCGGGACCAAAGCCGGAGCCAGAGAAATCGTGATCTTTCTCTAAATCATCGTGGGGCTGCAAAGAGCGAGAGAGAGAGAGTGAAAAAATAAACAATTTAAAATAATTGTAAAAAAATAATAACTAGCATGGAAATATAAAACTTAATTCCTTTTCGTAATTGTTATTGTTTCTATTCTTCCCCCCAAATTAAACCATAAAGCGGATTCCATATTGCAGCCATTACTTGGGGAGTCATCATATACGGCAAATGTTAACACAACATGGTTAGCAGAGTATGGTGTTAATTGCCTCGTAAATCTTAAGGCTATGGCTTGGTTAGGATGCCAACACACATACACACATGTGTAAACAATTGTGAAACTTAAATCTAACTAACAACCAGAGGTCATATTGCAGCAGCCAAACAACAATTAGGTGGTGTGCTATGGTCATAGAAAAGGACAGTGGAGCAAAAAGGTGACAAGCAAAATGTTGGACTTTTAGGTAAATTTATATGTTCGCAAGATAATTATTAAAAATCCTCTGGAATGGATTTTGCAAGAGGTTCAGTTTTGAAATTCAAACCAAAAGTGTACGAAAAGTACTAAAATGTACTAAAAACAAGTAAAAAAGTATCGGTAGGTTTTGCCGACAGATGTATACCCTCACCCTCTATGGAGTGGGTTTTGAAAGAATGGGTCAATATTGTCAATTTCGTATCGGACCTACATAAATATTATTATAGCAGATGGATATAGCAATTGCAAAGAATCACTTAGTTGTTTCGCAATTTATGACAGATAAAAATATTGAAAATTGTGTCCCTTTGTGGGTGAGGTACCAGAAGGTGTTCGCAGATATATAGGATCATCTTCATAACGGAGCTGATGTGAGCAAAAATGTTTGTATGTGTGAAATTTGAAAAGAGTTTGATCCTTATTTCGCTTTCTTTGAGCGTTATGTTTTTCAAAATTAGATTATTGGTTCCCTTTCTGTGCAGAAAATATATATTTTCAAAATTTCGACCATTTGTGGGATTTGGTCAGATATACTCCATTTGGACAGATATACTCCATCTTAACAACAGACCTTGGGCTAATAAAATGATGAATGATAAAATGAAGGATGTGTGAAATTTGAAGACAATCGGACTCTTCCATTGCATTTTTTGAGAGTTGTAATTATTCAAAATTTTGACCATTTGTGGGGGAGGTACTTCAAGGAGTGAACCGATATTGTCCATTTTCACACCTAACGTAGAACTGATGCAAATATTAGGATTTGCAAAGTGAGAGCAAAATCGGATCATCCTTTCTCTTTTTGTGCAAAAAATATATTTTTTTGCAAATTTCGACCTTTTGTGGGGGAGGTACCAGAAGGAGTGGACCGATGTTGCTCATCTTAACACCAGACCTTGGGTTAATATAAGTATTGGGATGTGTGAAATTTGAAGACAATCGGACTCTTACATCACATTTTATGAGAGTTGTAATTATTGAAAATTTTGAATATTTGTGGGGGAGGTACTTGATGTAGTGGACCGATATTGTCCATTTTCACACCTGGCCTAGCACTGACGCAAATATTAGGATTTGCAAAGTTGGAGCAAAATCGGATTATCCTTTGTCTTTCTGTGCAAAGAATATTTTTTATGCAAATTCCGACCTTTTGTGTGGGAGGTACCAGAAGGAGTGGACCGATGTTGCTCATCTTAACACCAGACCTTGGGTTAATATAAATATTGGGATGTGTGAAATTTGAAGACAATCGGACTCTTACATCACATTTTATGAGAGTTGTAATTATTGAAAATTTTGACTATTTGTGGGGGAGGTACTTGATGTAGTGGACCGATATTGTCCATTTTCACACCTGGCCTAGCACTGACGCAAATATTAGGATTTGCAAAGTGAGAGCAAAATCGGATTATCCTTTCTCTTTTTGTGCAAAAAATATATTTTTTTGCAAATTTCGACCTTTTGTGGGGGAGTTACCAAAAGGAGTGGACCGATGTTGCTCATCTTAACACCAGACCTTGGGTTAATATAAATATTGGGATGTGTGAAATTTGAAGACAATCGGACTCTTACATCACATTTTATGAGAGTTGTAATTATTGAAAATTTTGACTATTTGTGGGGGAGGTACTTGAAGTAGTGGACCGATATTGTCCATTTTCACACCTGGCCTAGCTCTGACGCAAATATTAGGATTTGCAAAGTTGGAGCAAAAGTCGGATTATCCTTTCTCTATCTGTGCAAAGAATATTTTTTATGCAAATTCCGACCTTTTGTGTGGGAGGTACCAGAAGGAGTGGTCCGATATTACCCATCTCCGAACTCGATCTAAGTTTGACAAAAATATTACGATGTACCAAGTTTGGACCAAATCGGATACTCCCTTCGAGAGTTATCGTGCGCACCAGCCAGCCAGACAGACAGACGGACTTACGGACGGACGGACGGACATCGCTAGATCGACTCCAAATTTTTTGAAACGCATTTGGTCCAAAGAGACCTATGGTCTTAAACCGTTATTTCGACTAGGCACATTTTGATCGTATCAAATGATATATACCCTCTATAGCCATATATTTTCCATTTTCGAACATGACCTAGAACTGAAGCAGTTATTAGGATTTGCAAAGTGTGTGCAAAATCGGACAATCCTTTCTCTTTCTGTGCAAAAAAATATTTTCTTTGAAAATTTAGACATTTTGTGGGGAAGGTATCTTCTGCGAAATCGATATAAGTTTGATAATAATATTGCATCGTTCCAGGTTTGGATAAAATCGGATACTTGCTTCGAGGGTTATTGTGTGCACCAGACAGACGAACATCGCTAGATCGGCTCCAAATGTTCTGAAGCGAATTTGGTCCAAAGGGACCTAGGGTGTAAAATCGTTATTTCGATGAGGCACGTTTATGATATATCTCTCAGATATGATATATCTCTAGCCATATGGCTGAGGGTATAATTAAATATTCTGTATTGGACAAACGAAATGAGCTAGAATTGTGAAATTTGGAATGAGAGTCTCTGATGGAGTTCAGGATAGATGTACCAAAGGGTTTTTCTAAGATGGTACCTTTTGGCATTATGTGAACGAAATTTGAATTGAAATTGAAATTTGGTATGAGAATCAATCCTTGGAAATTGGATTGATGTACGGCGGTGGTTTTGGAAATATTTACAAATTGTGCGAACCGTACTAAATTTGAAAAAGTTTGGTGAACTGGTGAAGCTGGTATTTAGAAATTTTTTATTGGGCTCAATGTTGGTGGTTGGTTTGTGATAAAGAGGTGATTTTGTAAATGTGTACTACAAGTGCACGAAAAGTACTAAATAGTACTGTATTTGGTACAATGTGGTAAAAGGATGAACAGATAGTATTCGAAATTTTAAGTTTGGTAAATTTTATTTTTGCTAAATTTGGTATTAGGCCGTGTGTAATCTGGACGTATGTCTGTGGTTTCGGAAATGTGTACTATAATTGTACGAAAAGTACTAACTGGTACTATATTTGGTATTGGGTGAACATATAGTGTTTGAAATCTGAAATTTGGTGTTGGCGTCGCTGTTCGCTGTGTGTAGCCGTAGCACATGGAGGTAATTTCGCAAATGTGTACTATAATTGCACGAAAAGTACTGAATGGTACTTTATTTGGCATTGGGTGAGGGAATAGAACTGAAATCATTAAAATTGGTATTTAGATTACCTATGGTATCTGCGTTTGAGATTTGGCAGTGGTTTTGGGAATGCGTCGTATATTTGAACGAAAAGTAATAAATAGTACTAAATGTGTGGTACTGGGTGAAGATGTTGGGCTGGAGTCCTGAAATTTAATATGGATGTCTCTGGTTAACATAAGAATATGGTTTTGGATATGCGTACTAAAATTGAACGAAAAGTAGTACCATAAATTTGGTATTGGGTGAAGGGCTAAAGAAAAGATTCTGAAATTTGGTTTTTCGATAACTTTTGGTATCTGAGGTTGAGATTGAGAGGGGTTTGAAAGTACGTACTATAATTGTACGAAAAGTACTAAATGGTACAATATTAGGTATTGAGTAAAGAGATAGTGATAAAATTCTGAAAATTTATATTCAGATTGCTGGTGGTATCTGTGTTTGAGATTTGGCGGTGGTTTGGAAGTGCATCCTATATTTGTACGAAAAAGGGAAGGGAATTTGTACGAAGGCATATAGCTGGAGTACCCAAATTTGTTTCTCCGCTGGTAGCTGGAATTAAGATATAGAAATGGTTTTGGAAATGAGTACCAAAATCGTACAATGTACTAAAAGTACTAAATGTGGTTTTGGCTGAAGGAATAGAATCCTGAAATTTGATATGAGTGTTGCTGTGGTGGCACGAAAAGTGCGGTACTAAATTTTGTATTGGGTGAGGGTATAGAGCTGGAATTCTGAAATTTGATATGGAGGGCACTGTTGGTACATTGTTTTGAGAGACGAAGGTGGATTCGGAAGTGCGTACTATGTTTGTTGGGGAAATACTAAATTGTACCAAATTGTTCGCAAGTTATGAGATATATAAGTATTGACAATTGTGACCCTTTGCGGGAGGGGTACCAAAAGGGGTGCGACCATATCCATCATTTTCTTCACAATAGGCGTTGTGCTAGTGAAAATAATACTGGAATGCGTGAAATTTGAAGGAAATCGAATGCTTATTTCAAATTTTATGAGCGTTTTTGGAATTTTCAAATTTTTTAATAGTTTTGGAGGGAGGTACCAGAAGGAGTGGACGGACACCCATCACCTTCACAGCAGAACTTGTGTCAAAAGAAATAAGGGAATTTGTGAAGTTTAAGCCGAATCATATGCCTATTTCTACTTTTATGAGCATTTGGGTTATTCTAAATTTTGACCTTTTAGTGGGGGAGGTACCATAAGAAGTAGTCCGATATATTTCCTCTTCACGCCTTACCTTGTGTTAGTAGAAATATTGAGATGTGCCAAATTTGAAGAGAATCGGCTGCTTATTCCCCTTTTTAAGTAAATTTAATATTCAAAACTATGACTCTGTGTGGGGGAGGTACCAGAACGAGTGGGCC